ATTGCACGTCAACTCCACTCATGAATTTACTTGCAAAATAAACTAAATATACTTTAAAATTTATTTACCTCAATTAGGTCTAAATGGAGAGATAATAGATATTGAAAACAAATTACGTAAACGTCAAGAAAATCCCAATTAGTGAACACGCGTCAGTTGGAGGAATTCATACACCTACTCGGGTAGCAATTTTGATAAGATGGGGGACAGATAAGAATATACAATTAAGAATACAAAAGCTAAGATGAGATTTCAAAACACTTGGATATCTGTGTAAGTCCGAAAAGATATTGAACCTATCAGCAAGCTTAGACTGTTGAATCCTAACGTCAAATTATTATAGTTGTAGGATTATATGTCTAGAAAGCTATTCAAATAATAAGAGGGAAAAGAAAAGTATTTTCGTGTATTAACAAGTATCTACACAGACATCAAAGAACAAAACGGGATTACGAAACCACTAATGAGAAGCTCATAGTGATAATTGAATAAATCTAAGTGAATCTAGAAATGAGGTAAACATGCAGAATGATGGATAGAGCACGAATTAAAACATATCCCTAATTGCTGAATTAATGTAATCTTATCCTGGAAACCACAGATTACAAGAAATTGGACACACAAGCAAAATCTGAAAAAAAAAAAAAACAACTAGACAGTCATAAACAAGCAAATAAAGGGCTCAGTATGGGTTAGTTGAGGGCCACTGCAACCTGAAAGGCGGGAAGAAAAAAGGTTGAGATTCAGAACACTGCTGTCTAATTATGAGGTTTTCATCTCGCTAGAAATCATTAGAAATGTGTGATCTCTTTCTGCTTGTCTTACTCTTTCTCTATATAAGCCTCTCTCTCTCTCTCTCTCTCTCTCTCTCTCTCTCTCTCTCTCTCTCTCTCTCTCTCTCTCTCTCTCTCTCTCTCCGTCTTTCTCTCTGACAATCAATCGCTCACTCACTCACTCACCTTTTTCTCCTCCATCCCTTCTCACTCTTTCTTCTGCTTATATGTGTCGTGATTAGGGCAAAATAATTTATATTTGTGAAAAAGCCGAAGATCTAATGTTGAACAGCCTAGAACCATTATAGCAATATATATAGCCTCATCTCTAATTTTAGGTCTATTTCAATATATTAGTTATTAACAATAACGTCTTGTTTATATGGCCAAAAGCCAGGGGATTGTTCACAGCATTTGAAACAGGAAATTATCTCACCACTTTCTTCTCACAAAAGTCCCCAGTTTGAAAAGCCAAGACTGCCAGTGATTAATTAAACTGTCTAGAACTGATAAACGTAATCTATATTCAACAATCTATTTCAATTAATTTCTTGTGAACGGACACGTCTTTTCAGTTTTTAGTCAATGGGAACCCATTACATTGCAGCTTTATTCTATTCAATATGAAACGTAATCTTAGCATACTTTTACTGAATTCGTGGCAGCCTTTTTGGTACCATTAAAGTTTGTGGACTTTTGAAATCAAAGTCTGGCATTGATTTTTGAAGTATTAGTATCTCTGGGCCGGCTCTGTGGCTAAGTCGATGCGAACGCTTCGTAATGCCGGGATGCCGGGTTCGATCCCAGCTTCCGGTCATGCGCCTTGCGTTGGTTTCGACAGTGGTATCAAGAAAGCCGACCGTCCAGTGAGCAATGGCAAACTACTTGACGTAAATTTACCTAGAAAAACCACACAACATCCTGGGGCTGTTGGGGTAGGCTCTGCAACGTCCTGTAAAGGATACGCAACTAACCAGTATCTCTAGACTGTAATTACTTTCATATCCCAATGGAGAATAGGCCCCTAACAAATACATTCTAAGTCCGGTGTCCTAATAAATTTGAATTTGCACCTTTTGCAACTACGCTTTCGCCAGAGACAAGAATTCTGGTTTATATTCATTTAGCATTGACTGACGTTCAACTCCACCAGGGCATCACGGCGAGCGATGAACACCTTGTGACACAAAGTGCCAGCTCTGGATTAAAGATCACCAGGGGACAGGTATCAGAAACCCCGCTTAACCCATCTGTTGGGTTATATTCGGGCTCCCGTCAATAGCCAGGCTAAGGCTTTATAACATTGGGATGCAGTAAGGTACATTTTAACACTGTCTATAGAGATATCGAAAACCTAAAAATGACTGCAGATTTCCTTATGTATACTGTAAGAGAATGAAAATAAAAAACGCGTTCTCATTAGTTGACCGGAAAGCATATAGTACTAAAAACTGTAGATGACCTAGATTCACAAAAACTGTCAACTGATTCGGTGAATTCCAATGTATTCTTGCGCACAGTGTGAAAGTTTATTTCCTTATATTACAAAGTTATTGAATGTCAGTTGCACGACAAAGCCTATGTTCCTTACAGCAGCTATGCTTTACTTTGCGAATAATATATATCCACTTTTCTCCCTTCTTCTTCATAGATCCTCCTTTCCCAACGCAGACACCAGGAAACCGCTAGCTTTGGTGAACTCTTCCTGTGTACACTCGCCCTCCCTCGCCATTGGCTGTAAAACCTATGTCTCCTCGGAGCATAATATGACACTGTAGTCTGAAAAGACAGAAATATATCAATACGTAAAAAAAGCA